ACTGCCACCTTCCACCATAAAACATGTACTAATCGTACAGGAATAATGACCGTAGCACCGGGATTCAACCAGCAAAAACCAAAAAAGGAAAGATCGCGCGCCGTCCGGCATTTGAAAGAGAATAAACCAACGCATGGTTTTGTTTAGTCGTAAGTCCAATTTAAGCATAATTCCCTCTATTCTGTGATCTGATATCGCATACTCGCAGTGCTGCTGAATTCTTGGTATTATTGGACTGCGGAATCAGCTAATCTATTAATATCGTCCACTCCAAACATAGTAAACTTCTGGGGACTACATTTTTTGGTTCACTATATCAGAGGCTATCAAAATTAAACAGAATTTCTCCATAACGATTGATTTTATTAATACATAGAGGTATAGCAAAATTAATTAATAGCACGACCTGAAAATTTCAACATATTTATTTGCATTTAAAAAATCAATTTCTTTTCAATTGTTTGCTTCGTACTTTTTCATTAGTAATTTCTCTGGATCTTTCTCTACAGTTCGTGCTCTCTCCAAAATTGATTCTATGTTGTTCTCTGTGTCTAAGAATCTGAATGAAGTCTGGTCACCATTTAATGCCTCTTGCACTGTTGGAATAACTTTCCATCTCTGAAGGCCTTTTACTCGCCAAATAAAATACAAGATTCTTTCGGTAGCGGGATGGCGCAAGCGGCTAATGAAACTGATAGCTTTTTCGCGCAGCACAGCGGATATCGCCAGACTGTGGCAGTCGCGTGCTTCCTATCGCCTACGTAGAACTCAACGCGCTTTGACCCGCGCAATATCACGTAACACCAAGATTGATACTGAAGTAAGCAATCGCGCGGCGTCGCCGCTAACGCAGGACAGGAACTTCGTTTCCGCAGTGAAACTGAGTCGCATAAGGTCATCAGCATGGTGCTCATTCCCGGTCCCCTACCTTTACCCCAAGGAACACTATTTTTATTATGGCCTTTGACCGACATATTTTCAAGCTGCATTGTGTTGGAATTTGTGGCACTGAGACGAGATACTATTTTCCATGAGGAGAATTGATTTCCAGGACGTTGTATTTCCTACTTCCACTATAGCCGAGGTTCAGGTTCACTATTACCTAGTCTTATTATACTTATTTGTAATGTAAGTGAAACGGCACCAGTGACTTAAATTCACTATAACCGAGTAATTCTCTATATCCGAGTTTACTATAACCGGAGTGGACTATATTTTGCTTCAGAATGGAGATGGAAGGATTGCATGCCGTCTGGCCAGTAGTTTGGCTCGTGGCTAGCTCTTGGTCAGTGTGCTTGCTTTCCACTACGCGGCCCAGGATTCAATTCCCGGTCGAGTCAAGACTATAGTGTCTGTTTTCCTTGCCGCCTTACGGCTTCCCCTTGCCGTTTCTTGCCGGCTACGTCCCAGTACATGTTGCTGTGTGACGATGAGAAAATTCACTTCTCAGGTTAAGGAGACCGGAATACGGCGTGGGGATGTCTTCGTGCTAACTACACGAACTCAGCAACCCATGGTTGCGAGGCCGGGACGCTGCTAGTAGGCCTGTATGTCTACATGCTAACCACCCCCTTAACCCATGGCTGCGAGGCAGGGCCGTCGCCGGTAGGCCTGTGCCCGTTCACGGGCTCTCGCGCCAAGTACGTACATACAGAACATACATGCTGGCCAGTAGTTTAAGAAACTGCTTGGGATTCCGCCTAGTATTCATCGGAGAAATCCTCGGAAATAATAGAGACAATGGATAAGAGCACCCATTGCTCATGCAGGCATTGGACGATCTCGACACTTCTCTTCAGCTATTGTCGAGATTCAAAATCCCGACTCCCCACCAAAGCTTCTGTTGCTGACAATGAAGGAAGTACAGTATTGCTTACGATGGTGAATTTTCCCTGACTTTTTAAAGTTCGATCTAAACATTTTTTGAGACAATTAGTTTTTCCATGTTTTCAAAAATATTTCAATTTTGTATTTCGTATCGAATGCATTCTTGATCAAAGATAAAATGATGTATGAATTATTTTGTGTTAAATAACCATTCTTCAATTTAATTGTAAATGCAAAGAACCGTGAGGAAGATGATTAGGCAGGAATAATTATTCACAAAATATAGTATTTTCATAATGTTTCTTCTTGCCTGGGTAGCCTCCAAGACAGATCTGGTTCTGTTGAAGTCTGACTCCAACTTTTATCTCCAGTGGAATCCGATAGAAAAAGTGAAACTTTGGGGAAACTATATTTCTCGCGCTTCCTGTTTATAGCAATCAAATATTTGACGTTTCACTTTAGTGCCCGATTAACTTGTTAATGCTTTGGCTAATAGGAATGACGGGTGTCATTAATTAAGAACGGATTGATTGCAAAATAGGAAAGATTTTTGAAATCAGGTTAATCTGGGAAATAAACTTATATATTCACTTTAAACAGGCGAAAATTTGCCAATCCCTCTTTTGTAAACAAATATGGGAAACAATGAAGGATGAGACCATAAGTAATATTCAATACATACACATTAAAATAACACTACTGCAGAAAAGCCTACAGTAGCACCAATGATTCGGACAAATGAAGGAATAAGATATGGAAAAAGTTGTATGTTCCTATGGCGGTAGATCTGTTCTAGAAAAGAAATATATCTACGAAAATTCAACGAAGCCTAAGAACTAAAGTACCTTTCAATGTGCAAATTGTGATATACTAAATTCCGACATAGGGTGTTGTCATTTCTTAGTGTTCTTGTACGTTTAATTACAGCAAAATATCAAAGATCATCTTCTCACGTCTTAAATTGTTATCATCTTGCACATTCCTTGGAATAGCTGTACGTGCTCCCTGTAGAAATAAATAATTCCAGACAATTTTTTACCGCCAATTTTCCTATCAAGATGCCATGGCATAAAACCTGCAAGTCAATAGCAGTTCACAATGCCAGTATATTAGGGCACTTGCTGGCCATGGCCTTTGGAACGTCGCTAATAGACATCTGTACGGAGTAACGGAGCACCCGAAGTACGCCAACGCGTTACACAAAGGGGAAAGAGGAAATGCATTTGCATATTCATACATTTGGTTCCTAGATATTGAATTAAAACGCTGTGCATAAACGAAAAGTGGGGTCTATAAGTGTCTATTTTGATCTGTATTTGTAGAAATATGAATATCAATAAGTATGGTTTAATATAATTAAATTAATTGTTTGGAAATATAAATGATATTAAGCGAGTGGGTTCCTCTAGATTAATCATAAAAGCAAATGAGTAGAGCATTCACATTCAACATTACATAATTTTGTTTAATAATACCGTATATTATTTTGCATTAAATACAAAGAACGCAACTAAGGAATATCGAAAAGTCATTCTTGACAGTCGGAATTCGTTAAGGATTTAACAGTCCGCAATCAATTAAGATGGAGTTACCCTATTCGTAAACTAATAGTGCTAAAACAGCACATTCTTTCTCACATTATTTTTAACTTTTGAGATTTTTTAAAATTCAGATAGTTCATGGAAAATGAGAACTGCATCCATTTTTCAGCGCACTCCACCCTATCCGAAAACAAAATATGAAGAAAAAAATGTGTGAATATCTTTTTTTTTACATTGCTTTTACGCACACAAAATTATTCGAAAACTATTCATATTTTGAAACAATAGTAAACGTCTTCATTTAAAGATCTAAATTTGAAAAACATATTTCACTTAAAAAATCTCTACTTTCAATATTGTTCACGAAAACCCGGAAAAAATTTTGATTTTTACCATTTTCGAAAATTTAGAAAGTTCAACAGAATCGTAAGAGAACATGCTGCTTCATTCAACTGTTTTAATTTTTCCCTCGTAACCAGGGTCCTCTCGATCCAGGCAAGTTATGCAGTGTACATCGAGCTCCGTATCGGAGGAAATACGAGGCAATTAGAAATTTGCAGGCAAACGTTTTAAAGTGTTAAAACTTTCTAAACTGCAAAGAGCTCAGTATAAATGCGATCTGCATCATTTTATACTAAATTTACTTTCAGAACAGAAAAAATTGGAACTATATCTGATTTTTAAAAAAAATTCTTTATTTCAACTGATGTTGTTTAAAGACAGACAGGCAGATGAGTAGATAGATGTGTCGAGAAACATAAATGCTTTATCCGTATCAAGGACAACGAAAACCTGTCTGTTTGTTCATATCTCGACAATGATGTTTTGCAGAATTACATTACTTACTCTGCACTACGTATTGAATAATATGCAATCAGTACAATAAATGTACCACATTTAATTATTTTCGTCATTGAAAATATATTTTATAAAGTGTCAATAAGAGTATTAATTGATCCGCTTGATTGGCATTCTAGTGAACTGTTGACCCTAGTCCCATTCATTTGCTTTTGTGAATGACACCGCCCGTGGGGGCCGCATTGCGTGTCTGCGTTACGCAGGAGTGTCGCGGGTGTGGGGGTGGGGTGGGGCGCTGCCCACGTGCGTGCGCAGGCGAGGGCGGCGGCGGCGGCGCTGGTGCTGACGGCGGCCGACAGAGGGCGCGCGTCGCGGCGCGGGGCGCTCGGCCTTAAACCTGGTTGGACGGCGGCGGCGGCGCAACACTTTCAGTTCCTCCTCCTTGGCCGGCGCGCTCTCCTCCCCACCTCCAACCCCGCCGCCGCCGCCGCCCGCCCGCCCGCCCCCCGCCCCGCACGCTCGCGGTGAGGAAAGCGCCTACCGCACCGCCGCCGCCGCCGCCGCCGCCGCCGCGTCGCGCTCCGCAGGTCCCGCGGCGAGCTGCCTGTTCATTTCTCCGCCGCCAGCTTCAGTCTGTGGCCGGGTTGCGTGCGGTAGGACGCGGCCGAGTCTCGACTTCAGGAAGGCTCCTACGGTCGCAGCAGCCGGCTACACCACCAACAGCTCCCTGCTCCCCCGCGCGTCTGTGGCGCGCCCCGCGGCGCCCGCCCACGCCCTCTCCCTCTGAGTGCCTCCCTTGTCGACGGTGCACGCTGCTGCCGTTTGCGGTCGTTCATGCGCGCTGACAGCCCCAGGCTTCTTGCTTCCGTCAAGATCGCGTGCTCAGTGGATATTATCTTCGGCGTGCTGGCGCCCTGGCGATTCTCATCGGTGAGTACCTCGTGCCGCGCTCTCCACGGCGCGTCAAGCGTGCTCCTCCACTCGACGCCGCCTCCTCGATCCATTAAGAGGCGGACTCCTCCACGGGGCGTGGAAGCCCCTCGTCGAAGGTGTCCACCGCCGCTCGCTTTCGTGGCCGGCAAGTCGACTGGGCGGTCGGGGCCGCGGCGATTTGGGCATCACCGGTTTTCCACGCGCGCGCGCGGAGCCCCGCCGAGTTGCCGCCGCCGCCGCGCTGCGAGAGTTGTTCGATAAAAGTGACATTTGGGCGGCTGCGCTGCCGGTCGGGGCCGCGCGCCGTTAGTAGGTCAGGGAGGTGCAATCCGCGCCGCCGGGTTCGATATCGGCGCCGCTCGCGCCTCAGCGTGCTCGCGCGCGCGCGATGACGCCAAGTCGTGAGGGGCGGGGCTGCGTCAGCTGACTGACTGGCGGAGGAGGAGGAGTTGACGTGACGGTTTGATGTGTTAGAGGCGGCGTCTCGTCGCGTCTCGTCGCGTCCGTCGCGCCGAGCGACGGTGATTGTCGCGCCTGACAAGGCCTTTCACTGGCGAGATGACGGGCGAGGGCGGGACGCTTGTTCCGGCGCCGGGAGACGTGAACATTGGGGCGAATCGGGGAGAGTGAGCCGCGCCCATTAGAGTGGAATTGCCAGTGCTCGTCCGGATGCATTGTCGTGCTCGCGCTATCTCGTATGCTCGCTATTCTCCGTATGAGGTTGAAGCTAAGAACGAAAGTGATGATTGACTGTTGTTAGCGCGGCTATTGTCAAAGACAATGTTGGTTATTAGATGCACTCGGCTGTAATAGACTTCTAAGCCGGTGACATTTAGTGGTTCATTCGATTCGGTGATATTGTTCTCATGTGTTTCGTAAGTGTATGATAAAAGGTAGGAGATAATCTTTCAAATGGATATTAATTTGGCGATGTTGTGGAGAGAATTGCAAGTGAAAACATACTGCGTGCTTGATTCTGAATGAAGTTCGGTACTCCACAGGAGTAAAAAGCAAACAATCTTCGCTCATACTTTATGCATAATCATCAAATAAAATTCATCTTCTAAGAGTAAAATTAATGTTTTTGGCAATTGTTAATATTTTGACAAAATTTAACAACGGATTTATTTATATTCATTTGGAATTAATTATAATTTCACGAAAACTTTGCTTTCAATCATTAATTATTTAATATTTTAACTCGTTGTTAGTCAGAATTACATAATAATAATATTAAAAAGTTATTATTTTTTCAAGTTTCTTGACAGAATTTTCTAATTTTTACACTTCACTCTCCAGGTATGCTCCGCTATCTTTTATTTCTTTTAGAAACCAAACTTCTTATCCATTAAATAGTTATTTTAGACATTTTTTTGCTACACTAACTTATTAATTGCAAATCCATTTCAATATTTTAAATTATCTTGTATTTATGGGTATTTATTTTAAAGCATCGTCTGTATCAGTTCAAGTTTTTCCTACAATCAATTCTGTTACGTATTTCTTACGAAAAATAATTGATAGACTTTAACACACATCCCGTTCAAAATATATTTTATCATAAAATGAAAATATTCCATAAATACTCCAATATTTTAAAAATAATCTGCCTTACATTTGCTGTCTCAGAGATAGTGACACTTTTGCAATTAGTATTAAATCTGCAATCCTTTCCAATTTTTTTTTGCATTGCGTTAATATAAATCCGCAACCCTTCCAAAAAAGCATCTTTTGTTCTTATCCGCCCATCTCCCTGGCCGAGAACGCTTGCAGGGGCTCCGCGCGTTTCGGGCAGTGCACCGCGCCACCGACCCACGCCCCCCCCCCCCGCACCGCGAAAGGAAGGCGCTCCGCGGGCGGATAAGCGACACCTCCACCACCGCCCCTCGCCAGTTTGCGATTCGGGGGGGCGGCCGCTTCATTGTGTGCTAATGGCCAGCCGGCGCTGGGGCGGCGGCGATGGCGGTGGCGGTGGCGGTGGTGGTGCCGCCGCCGTCGGCGGATCCCGCGGCGCGGTTGCGAGAACGCGAGAAAGTTACGCCGCCGCCGCCGCCAGGGGCGTCCAAAGGCGGCGCGGCGACGCCGTGCTACATATGAAGCCAAGCAGCCCATGTCGCGGTGGGCCGTCGGTCCTCCGCGCGCGAATTCGACTCGTCGGCAACCCGGCTGTTACGCGACTACCCACTACTTTATCCATTACTTCTCCCGCCTACACCACTTCCCATCAACGTAGCGTGCATTGTCATTCACGCATCTCACAAACAGAGTTAAGACCGTTGATGTCTCCATCGTCTCTCCTCGACACTATATCGCACCAGTCTCCGCACTAAGTGCCGAAAACTCATCGCTCCAAAGTACGACTCCTATTATTTCTTATTAAGATACTCGTATCACCATTCTCGTCTTATCAATATTATTGATATATTATTATCGATGGATTGGCGCACTCATATTTTATGTCCAGAATTCCTAGATTCGAGAAAACCAAGCTTGGAAGTTTGTGCTGGTGCAGTTATTTCTTGAGCGGTAATGCTTTTTTTTCTGAAGAAGAAAAAAAAACACACTAAGGACATACAATATTGACATCGTAGGTAAACACAAACGAAAATCTACCAAAAATGATGTAAACACACAAATAAGCATGAGTGGACATAAAATATTTGTGTATTAAGCCACCAATTTAATATCACTGCACCGTGAACTAAAATTGGCCGCTCGAAGGGGAGCCCCGAGATACGACCGTTAAAGAGGATTCCAGACACATAGAGGCAAATGGAGCAGATGTCAGACAAAACGAATGTTAAGTGGAGTTGGTGCGTGGGTGGGAGCAATGCTCGAGTACGTGTACCCTCGCTCGTAGCTTGGTCACCGCTTGTGACAAAATTATAGTCCCACATTTGATAAAGAAATGAACAATAATAATAATAGAAATATAGTGGATGAAGTGTTGTCTTGGACATGCGGGACAAAAGTGATAACCACTATTGCTAGTAGCCAAAGTATTTTTTGAAATGCTTAGTTTCCAATCCTCACATTATCGGGAGAAAATGTCAGGGTTGGCACTGGATACGGACAGAAGACATTGAACAAACATAATGATATGAATATAAGAGGATATTGGTATACGGTAGGTGAATTATTGGCTGGTCTAGCCAGGGCAACAAATATATTTATGTAAGTTAATTGATCGCGTGTGTGATGTTGTTATCTTGGCCTCGGTGACAGTTAGCTCAGTGACAGCCTAATATACATGACAATTTTAATTCGGTGAAGGATTTTTATTGTGGTTTCTACAGGGCAAAAGTAATGTTTACCGTATGCCGTAAATTGTATTATGTTAATTCTCAATCCCGGTCTCTCAGACCCAGTTACGTCATGATACAAAAATAACGGTGAACGAATGTTTGCCTAATCTGTTCAGGACCAAACAGTCAGTAGAAATATATAGGTATCATTATGAGATAAGTTTTGGTGAACCATAAGGAGGTGAATGCAACAAATCAATGACGCAGTGTCATGGTGTATTTAAATAACGGAGAATACGACCTCAAGAAACTCATAATACAAATAAATTCTCAAAATGTATACTTTATTGTTGCAAGTTAGGAGTATAATCGAACTCTCTCTGTGACGGCTTTCAAAATTCCCTCTCTGTAAGGAACCACGATGCATCATGTGGACTCTGCATGCTGATTGGCTACACTGTTCGAGCATGCGCACTAACACCCTTTATGCGACATGGGGGCTCCCTCGGGAAGCGTTGCTCGGTCGGTGCAAGCGACGGGTAACTGGGCAGGCGTGGGTGCGAAAGTGACAGTGATAAGTCGTTGCAGGAAGTGAAGTGTGATTAATTGCTCGCAGCATGATTTACAGACGCTCATTCTGTGACATGTCGGTTACATCGTTTGTGTAACTCTAAAACAAGTGTACTCGCTACTGGGTCGGTGTATTAGTGCATCGCTGACACTCGATGTAAAAGCTTTGTGCTTGTTTGTCTGTTTCATTTACAGACATTGCTTTGAAACTATAATTTAACGTCAAGCAAGGCATTTTAATCTCTTAATAATAGGTCGGCGTTACAGTGAGCACGAACTAAGAAGGACGAACTGAAAAGGTAGCGGGCCATTCGAAAGTGTCGTGTCATGTAAGACACGAAGAGACATTCAATAAACAAAACAAGTGTTTTATCTGATAAATTATGATATACATGGTATACATAAAGGAAACCTATTAACATTAAAATATTTTTGGTGGTTGTAATGAATCACTCAACGCATGCACTAACAGACGTTCACATACTGATGTGTCGATGTCAAATGACTAGAAGAGAGGGGTTTTTCCCCCGGTGCTCCGGTGGCCCGCGTAGAATTTCTCGAGGGGAGAGACCTTTGGAGCGAGGCACTGTCGAGCGGAGGCAGGCCTCGTAAAGGTGTAAACAGAGGCGCGAAGGCGGAGGCGGGGCGTGGCGCGGCGTGGTTAATTATTACCTAATTCTTGGGGTTCTGCTTTTTTGCAATTTTTGAGAAACGAAAGTGTGTATCAGAAGAGCCAGCCTAAAAAAAGTAACAAAAAGTCCAAAAGTGCAGATAACAACGTATGCCAACGTATATCCAATGCTACGTTTGAAAAATAAACACACATTTCTAAAGCTTAAAACGTGCTCTTTTTAATGAGATTGGTTTTTAAACTCATCTATTAAACTACTCATACTCTTCAAAGCGAGTTAAGAAACATCGTGTATCGTTAGCGATGTCGCATCCCTACCATTCGCAAACGCGAATAAAAAATATACCTCGTACGCAGAGCACAAGAAAAAGAAAACAAAATAAATAGTAGCCCTTGCGGGGCATCGAGACCCCCGCATTTGATTTCGCCAAAGGGCGCGGAACTCCGGAGCGCTGCGGCGGCGGGCGCTGAGAAAGAAGCAGAGCACGGACCCGCTCTCATCGCCAGCGACGCCGCCGCCTCCGCCCCCCCCGCCTTGCCCCGCGCCCGCTTCGCCCCGCCTCCGTCCCTGCCCCGTATCCGCCCGCCCGCCACGCAT